ACATGTTCAGACATTCATCAATTAAGCAAAGCCATAACCAAATCATTCAAAATACTTTCAAAAATGTCTTGTTGTTCATTGGACACACACAGTCACACATATACACTCACTCACACTCACACACATACACACACCAAACGCACGCACGCACACAAACACAAAAACAGGCAAGCAACATGCAAAAAAACATTTGTATGATCAAGATTCATAGATCTAAATAAAAAATACAATAAAACAATAATAAAAATGACAACAACAACAACAACATAAAAATTATATAATAATAACAAAATTATATATAATAAAAATAATAATAATAACGGATCAGAGCAAGCAGGAAATAATAAATTTCATGCCTTCATTAAAAACTGCACCAACAAACATAAGACTGAATGAACATGGGATATAAATTATAAATACTAATGATGGGTAAAATTACATTACTAAATCTTTAACACAAACATCAATCCAAAACAGCAGCAATAACATTAACAACGACACTAATAACAACAACAACAGCAACATTCACATATAACCTTGTAATGTGGAAAGTTGTATTCTCTTTATCTTTGATCAACTTATCTCTCCTGTACCAGAATATATATGAGACCAGTTTGCATTCAGATGTCAAATAACATTTTAGAGTTCGATTCAGTTTGTTTTCTATCAAAGGCTCCAGCAGCTTTAACTTTACTTTCGGCTTTTCTGCTGTGTTGGTGATGTTAATTTACCACAATGTGATGGTATTCATTGGATCGATAATAATCAATTAACTTCAATTAAATATTTATATTATTTAACTTGAATACTATTAAAATAAGAAATATATCAGTAGATAATGAATGAATTTAATTATTGCTATCTTAGAGAAGATATATATATAAATGAATGAAAGAAAATGTTCCTGCTAAGCCGAGAAACTAACACCTCACGATATTATAAACATTCAAAAGTAGACATCTTTCAGCAAAGTTATTGCAATGCTCAGATACCACTGAAATACCAATCCAATGCGATAAAAATTAACATTCAATAAACTAAACACTTGGCTGGTGCGCACACTTATACACCCATACAAACACACACACAAACACACATACACGCACGCTAAAATGTAAGAAGATCTATTTAAGTAGAAAGACATATACACACAAGCGATCAAATACAATTTCTCGATACTCAGGTACTTAGAAGAACTAATTTGTATGAATAAATTATCCCCTCATGCCTCAAATATACCTCCAAAAACGTTATATCAAAAAACTGCAATAGAAACATCCTCGAGAGGACGTCAATCATCAACGTTAACAATTTAAAAAATGTTAATAACTGAAACAGCGAACAGCAATTGAAAAGAAAATATTATCTATTTTTTTACAAATCACTAATCCATTTCACTCCTAGAATCGATCCACATCATATAGTTAACATACGATGCAGTTTTGTATGCCAGTTTATCGCTAACATAATCAACAAACCAAAAAAAACACTGAAAAACAATAAATGCAATCAACAAATGATATCCAATATACCTAATATATCTAATATATCCCATATACTTATTATATAATGGTTAATATATCTGATATATTAAATATATATCAAATATATTATATACAATATTAAACAAATGCTTAAAGCAATCTTGCATAACTAAAAATTGAACATCTATAACAATGTAATGAAACAAACTTATATATATATATACGTACACACACAAACACACACACACACACACACATATATATATTTATATATATATGACACTGAATTTATACCATATATATATATAATATTTGTATTTGTATATTTATACACATACTTATAGATGTATTTATAATCTTTCCATATCTAATTAGTATATTTATGTATGTTATACCCCTTGTTGTAAATGAAAATTCAACATCAATAAAATAAACGAAAGCTTTTGTCATGTGTTGTTCAGTTTTTTATTCTTACCAGGAATGAAGCTAAAATATGCGCCGATGATGATGATGCTGTTGAGGAGGAGGAAAAAGTGATGATGATGGTGATGATGATGATGCTGAGGAGGAAGTGATGATGATGGTGATGATGAAGACGCTGATGAAGTTGCCAATGAAGATGAAGATAAACATTTTGAGATTATCATTTATGATATAGATGCTTCTGAGATAATGATGATGAAATGATTATGATAGCGATGACGATGCAGACGATGAGGATGAAAAAGAAAAGTAGGAAATGGATGAGATGAACTGATGGAATGAACCTAGAAAAAAATAAAGTAATATAAACAACCCCTAAATAACATAGCTAGGACAAGACAGCAATAAATAACACCTAATACCATTAACTACTACAGAATCTACAACAACTTTAACCCCAACAACAGCAAGAGAGAGAGAGAGAGAGAGAGAGAGAGAGAGAGAGAGAGAGAGAGAGAGAGAGAGAGAACACCATACAACAAATAGCAACAACTAAAAAACTCAAAACTCCTATAAACATAAAGATAAACCAATAACATTCATTACTACATTCATTAATCAATCCTCCTAGCAAGAAGATGCAAAGATGCCATGGGAGTAATTTTATACTTTAAATATAAGTCAATGTAGCTTTGTATTTTAGTTTTTGAACTTTTGTAAGAATAGAACAAGATAAAATGTTAAAAAAGAAAGATAGATAATGTAATAGTGCCGTTGATTGTGTATAATAACTATCTTAAAACAGCATTCAGTACAATATATGTTGTTTGTTTGTTGCCTGTTTTTTACAGTTAGTAAAACATCAGCCAGGTTGATAAGAGTAAGACATTTAGATGGCAATTATTTGAAGTGCTTACTTCTAATGCATAGACATCAATTTTTTAATTGATCAATAAATAAATTAAAAATTCTATGCAAAATAAAAATACAATTTTTTAAAATAACCAAATACTTAAAACTGGAATTTTTAAATTAAATGTGATTTATTTATAATATAATTGTTAATCAACTGAATAAAGGATAACTCACAACAATCGAGACAGCTATACTTTTCCACTTCATCCAGTCGTTCCACAGTGGCCTGCTGAGGTTGGGCGGCCAGCCAGAACAATTTCCGTTTGGAACCCGTCATATTGGACATTTTGACAAACGAACCATTCAGGTAGACGACGTAATCTAGCTGCTTGTTCAAGTTTAACAAACAATTGAATTCGTGGTACCTACTTTTGCAGATCACCCAGATGTATTTCGGACGCTTCTTAACGCCACCGAAACCTCCTTTGTACAAAATCTGGAACCGAAATTGAGCGGCTGGAAGTCCGGGAATGGATTTGTCGAACGCCATGAAATCGCCTTTAAAAACAATGTTCGAGATGGCGACTTTAGAAGAATCATGTCGCATTAAATTTTTTTTGTAACTCGTCAAATTTGCCGGCTTCAAACTTCCATTCACCACACCAAGACGCGAGACAATGTGAACGAAAAAATAGAAGAAACACTTGAAACCCAGAAGAATTAAATGTGTATCATCTGATATGAAGAGCTTCATTTTTTAAAATAAATCTCAAAAAATTATCTTCAACTGAAGTATAATATGAAACCGTGCTTTCACGGCAAAACATTTAGCTAACTTTTTCAATATGCTAATAAGAAGAACTTTTAAATTATTCCATCAAACATTCAAGCCACAGTCTTTACGTTAACTGAAAGCTTGTGTAGTATACTATTAAGTAAATATATATGTAGGTATATATATATATATATATATTGTATTATGCAATTGCATTGTGTTAATTCGCAATTTTTTTCTTAATGTTGTAAAAAGAATCGTTATTATACGAGACATACAACTACTAAAACAGCCTTAGGAAGATAAACCACCAAGAGTATAACAAATTTTTACATTTATACACAAACTATTCCAAATATGTTATCATCTTTTTACATTATCTCAAAAAAGTTAGACAATTATGATGAATATAAAGAATTTTAAGTCATCTTCATCTTCCAAGGAAATTTATCCATCCATTAGTTTATGCCTTTGATAAGTTAGAGATCAAAAGAAAATTATCAATAAATGTAAATAAATAAATCAGCATCTTGTGTACACACGCACACGAGGTTTACACTCCAGACAATTGAAAGGAAAAACCATGTATTGTATGTATTGTACGTATTTTCTGGTTCTGTATGTAAACATAGGTATGTATGTACGTGAGATGTATATAAATTATAAAGATACATTTAGAAATACGCATAACGAAAGCAATCGTTTCTACACTGTATGATACACGCAAATAGACTAAGCTTATACATCACATACATTTGTAAACACATACTAACATCCACAAACACACATATTCATATATACATAAGCCCACACATAAACACATGCACAAACGCAAACACCCCTGTATATGTATATTTATACACACGCACACATACGACATACATATATACACACACAATACACGTGTTTGTCGATTCAATGTACGTTTTGAATGTTGTGAATAACCTATGAATGGTTGTTTCGATTAAGAACAAGGTTAGCGCCTGCTTGGATGTAAATCTAATCTTTTATGTGCGTGCCGTTTATTAGTTTTAAACGATCCAGATCACCAAATTTTTCTACATATTACGATCATCATTATTTTCGGCTTTATTGTTTGTTCATTTTCCCCTTAAATTGATTAGCTTTTATAAGTATTTGAAAATAATTTTTTTGTCAAAAAATCATGAAAAAATGAAACCAGGCTTGATTATTAGACATTTTTTTTGACTAATTACAGACGACAAAACAAGAAGAGCTGAGAAAGCTTAGTTGACATTTACAACGAAGTGACCACGATAACGAACGACTGAATGAATGAACAAATGAATGAATGATTCAATGAATTGTGTGTCAATTCAAATGTGCAAAAGCTGAACAAATATATTGGAATTCATCTGACACAAAAAAAAATTCATTAAGTTTTCACCACTCAACACAGATTTAATAATTTTTACAAAATACAAAGACAACATCTAGTGGGGTTAATATTTTTTAAATTCAGTTCTTTCGACCTTGACCTCCCCTGCAATCAGCTGGTACAGGTAGGCAATGATCATGTTTGCTTGCACGTCCAGCAGAATGAATGATGGTACTATGTTGCTGCACGTCAGTTGCAAAAATAAAAGTAAATTAAAGGTTAAAGGTTAATCTAAAGTTTTAAAAAAAATATTTTATACTGAATGATTTTTTCATTATTTCCGTTTTTTTGCATTAGTGCACCTCATGTTATATAGATGTACTGAGATTGAATGCTGTAAGTGTTGAAATTCTGTTGTACTGTTAACAATGAGAGCATTTTGTGCCGCAACAAAAATGTGGGTAGATAGATGGATGGATATATGAATTAATGAATGAATAAGTGAATCAATAGAGAAATGAATGGATGAACAGATATGAAAGAATGAATAGATGAAAAAATGAATGAATGGATGAATAAATAGATAAATGAATGAATAAATGGACAGATGGATAAATAACTGAGAGATGTTAGTTCAACCTTTCAAAAGAGGAATAAGCTCCAGTAGCTGAACCAGGATTGATGAAAAGTTTGTTCTCTTGCTCGAATATTTCAACTTTGTGAGTATGGCCAGTAACGAGGACATCAACATCCAACTGCCTTTGAAGGGCAAGCAAACTTTCTTGGTCAGCCCAGGGAACAATTTGATGGCCATGACACAAACCTATCTTGAACTTTCCTACCATCACAACTTTCTGCTCCGGTAGATATAAATTCTGTTGAAAAATTAAATTAACTCTAATATAATTTTAAAAGCTAGTTTAATTGATGTTCACAGATATTTCTAAAAGATTAAAATTATGTAATTAAGAAAAAAATAAGTTGAAAAACTAATAAAATGTAATTGTAGAATAACAGCAATTATTATTATTATATTCATTGTTACAACATAATTCAAAAAGACAATGCTTGCCCTAACTGACATCATCAAAATCCCCTCTCACTATATGCAGATCATTGGCTAAAGTTTTGAGATAATCAAACATCTCTCTAGAGCAGAGGTTACCGGTACATAGGATGTGCTGAATCTTTCCAGGGACTAGAAGTTTTCGAAACTGAACTGGAATGCCATTACTCCTGAACGGGATGTGCAGGTCACTAATGATGAGAACTAACTGTTTTTAAAGAAATATAAAAAACAGTAAGATTTTTCTAAATAAAAAATTGAGTCTTTTACAGCTCATTCATTCAGCTCAGCATCACATGACTGCATTTCTCAAATCAGCCAGTAAATGCCACACATTTGAACTACTAAAAAATTGAATCTTGAAAATTTTCATGGTTCGTTGGAATTTGGTTCATTATATATTCACAGTTCACACTTATTGATTTTTTTTATTTTAATTAGCAGCCAGTCAGTCCTCCAGTTCAAGTCCAGTCAACGCCTCCTTGCAAGCTACTAAAAAAAAAAAGAAAATACTAACCATAATAAATTATTCAACTGTCAATTTGCGACAATAACATTTAATTCAGGCGAGATTTTGTTTAGTTTTTCATTTAAAAACCAATAAATTTGCTAAACGTTCATTTCGTAGACAAATAGTTAATTGATTAAAAGTGGATTCGGCGTATGAAAAATGCCTAAAAATCTCAACACTGTCTTGCTCAGTTGAACTATTTTAATGAAATTTAATTGATGTTAATGACACTAAAATAACAAAAAGATAAAGTTAATGCCATTAAAGTACATTTAAAAAAATTTTATAACAGAAAATCTTAGAAGCCATCTAGGGAACGATCTTAATTTATTATTTCAATGATTTTCATACTAAAAAAACACAGCACAGGTTAGGCTGTGGGGACTGATTTTAGATTTAGTTTATTTAGTTAATACGAGTTAACTCTAATAATTTTGCCTGTTACAGTATATTTTCTAGGTAATTCCCAAATTGGAAAATAAGATTGAGACTGAAATATATCTTGATTTTATTGTAAATTTATTGAATTAATGATGATTTTAGCTTTTAGCTACTTAAAATAGTTAAAAACACAGGCAATTTGCCATTCGTTCCCTAATCTAGTGTCGTGTTTTAAACGCGTCATGGAGAATTCTGGGCACATAATGGAGGTTTCTTCATTTTCTTAACAAAAAATGTTTTTTAAACTTTATTCCTCAATTCAGTTTCAACTGAATTTTTTTTGCATGTTTCAATAAGCTGCAGCAGTGTGAACTGAGTGACGGTTGGATGATTAAATAAAATAAGATTAGGAGCGTCTGTTGACATGGCTGCTCATTTATTTATAGATTAAATTATGAACTGTATTTTACCTTATTTTTTGTAATTAATATTTTTTGTGCCTTATTTAATTTACTAATAATATATTTTATAATTTAATTTAATAATTGTTTTATTTTTATACTCTCTAGTTCATATTATAATTTTTACTGAATTTTTTAATTGAAGGAAATTCAGAGATTAATAGCTCCACCAAAGACACTAGGTTCATCAAAACGATGCAGAACAAGCAGGCCAAACAAGTTCTCAAAACCTGACAAGTTGCCTAACCACGACACCTGTGATAGTTGTAAGGAGCCTGGTGATTTGATTTGCTGCGATCGATGCCCCTGTGCTTTCCACTTGATTTGCTAGTCAGTTTGTCTTTGGGCTCTTTCACATTGCTGATTTTTAATTATTCAAACATTTATTTTCCCTACCAAATTATAACCATTTGTGAATTCTTGAATTTTCTGTCAAATTTTCTGAACTGTATTTCAAAATTTGTTTGCTAATATTGTAACTCTTTTTGAAAATGGTAAAACAATTTTTAATAGTGACCCACCATTAGAGGAAGAGGATGCACCAAATGGGGAATGGATTTGTAGAAAATGTACATCAAAACTCAACCCAAACAACAACCTCTCCACTCCAAAATCAGTTTCATCGACGACATCCTCATCCTCCCATAAGAATCTACAAAGTTTAAATTTAAACAAACGACCCCTTGAAGAATATGACTTTGATGTTTCCCTCTTAGAGAATGACATTGACATTCATAATGTTTTAAAAAAATTAGCAATTGCAGCTAAAGGTTTGACTCCTAGACAATTTCAACTGCCAAAAGAATACTGCTGTCCTATAATTTTTCCTGGTTTGTCAGTTCATTTTGTCATAATAATAAAAAAAAAATCTTTATTTCTAACACCAACTGTTATTAGGGTCTAGTAAAGTTATGAAGAAAAAACCAACGACTCGAGAGACGTGTTATAGGTCTACATCGTCGTCGATAGCGGCAAACAATGCCAATGCATACACAAGAAAAAATGTCATTGAAATGGAAAAACACATGGTCCCGCTACCTGCCAAGCTGTGTCATATTTGTACAAGGTCGTTCATTTTTTATTAATAATAATTTTTAAGTAAGTAATTTGATTTGATTATTTAGATACAAATATTTTAACACTACTTTATTCAGTATGTAACAACTTGCTATCATGCTTGCAATTTTTATCTCAAAAATTATAAAAAATGGTGTTGGTTTCATGACAACTGGACTCAGATTTATTTAATTTTTACTGAAATAAAATTTATCTTTTCTAAAAACCAAATTTTAATACCGGCATGTATAACAGGAGCTGTCGAATAGCTCCACTTTTGCAGTGTGATTACTGCCCTCTGGTGTTCCACATCGACTGTCTGGACCCCCCATTAGCCAACATTCCGTCAACCACTTGGATGTGTCCTAATCATGTTGAGCATGTCATTGTTAGTGTCTGCTTTGTTTAGTGTTTGAATGTTTGAACCTGTATACCTAGGTTAATAATCTAGGATTTTCTATGTAACTTTTTTAATTTTATGTTTTGTGGTACTCGCTTTACACTTATTTTCTACCTAATTTTAGGATGAGGTTCTTCTTGATTCTACACGACTATCAAGGCGCATAGAACTGTGGGAGAAGTATACGGCTCCACTCGATGTTGATGCGGTCAAAATAAATTTCCTCAAAAGAATTCACCAAGTCCAGACACCATTTCGTGTCCAGGGGGACTTGTTTACAGCCGACGGAAAGGAACATTACATCTTTGGTACTAGAAAGACCTGTGCAAAGGTTTTTTTTAAATTAATTATTAATTATTTTAATAATTATTTCTGTTTTTGTTTTCATTTTAATTTGGAAGTATTTTTATTAGAATATAGAAGACTGTTTTATGAACGTTATATATCAAATATTCATTCATTTATTTCATTCTACTTATTCCTATATCTATTTATTTATCTATTTATTTATTCAGTTAATTTATTTGCTTATTTATTAATTAATTTATTTATTAACTTATTTATTATTTAACGTTTTTACAGGTTCCAAATTCAGTGAAGCAAGCCTACAGCAAACACAACAACAACAACAACAGAGCCAACAAAAACAGTAAAAATTTTCCAACCTTTGTTTCAGCTGCTCAGTCAAAAATGCCATCAACAGCAATAACATCAACATCACTTTGCTCAACAACAACATCATCAACAACAACGGCAGCAACAAAACCAACAAACTCTCAACCATTGCATACTGATATTAACTCATCAACTCCTACTACAACTACTTCAGTGTTGTCAACAACAACAACAGTTTCCTCAACATCTATCTCTATGATTTGTGATTCTAGATGCCAGTTTGCTATGCCTCTTGAGCACAAAAAACTGGTATTTTTTATTGTTGCTTTCTACTTTTTACATTCTAACTTTCATCTATTTTCGTCAATTATTGATAAAAACTTAACAAACAACAATAAAGCCACAAACAAACAAATTACAGAAAATACAAAACTAGCATACAATCATACAAAACAAACTCACAAAACAGTGGCTTAGAGGTATTAGCAAGCTACAGATGGATATAGCTAACTTCTTAAACAACTGTGGCGACGACAACAGCCACGGCAACGACAACAGCCACAGCAACAACGACAGCAGCAGCAACGTATTCAATATTTACAACAACACAAAGATCGTTGATTTCAATGATAACAATTCATGCAACACTCACGAAAGTGCATTGTCTATCGCCAGTACAACAACTACAGCTACCATTACCACTACTACTACTCCTGCTTCTACTTTTGCAGCCGCTACTGATGATGATGAGGATGGCGACGAACCTACAGCTCATTTCAATGTATTCAGACAAATGATACCTTGCACAGCTGACCTAACCTCCTCGTCATCATCATCATCTGCATCATCATCATCTGCATCATCATCATCATTAATCATTCCAAATGATGCATCTCTAGATACTGTATTTAGTGGGTTTCCTGTAGATAGAAATTCTGCAGTTTCAAGTCAGCCAGCTTACAATAATCAAGATATTGGTGGTAAAATTGACAACGATTATGCTGATCATGATGATGATGGTGGTGGTGATGATGATGGTGATGATGGAATGAAAGTGGGTGATGATGATAATGATAATAATAGTAATAATAATAATAATAATGTCAATGATGTTGATGATGGAGGCAATAGGAAAAAAGAAGTCTCGATTAATGACGACGATGATGATGACGATGATGATGAAATGGAAATCGAGATAGAAGATGATGGTGGTGATGATGGTGATGTTTGTGAGGTACCTGGTGACGATGATGGTGATTATAGAATTGTGATCAATGACATGTCCTCTGATGATGATGGTGATGGTGGTCGTGGTGGTGATGGTGATAAAGAAGGCTTGAAACATAATAAGAGTAACAATAATAACAATAATAATAGTAACAACAACAATAATAACGATGATAATAATGTTAATGATGATACCAACGAAAAGAGCAGGAGTAGGGCTTTACTCACCTTATCAACATCATCAACGACAACATTGTCATCATTATTTGTAATTCCTTTGTTGTTATCAGCCTCCAAGCTTCGGCCATCATTATCATCATCGTCGTCCATATCATTATCATCATCATTCGTATCGTCGTCGTCATTCTCATCATCATCGTCATCATTAATGACGTCATTGTCAATATTTCAGACACAAACCATTTCCTCTAAATGTTTGGTTTCATCACCATCATCTTCATCATCTGCATTATCGTCATCATCATCATCATCATTATTTACATCGTCGTCATCATCATCATTTCCAACATCACAGCTGTCATTGCCACCAAAGTGCTTGACATCATCATCATCATCAGTGGTGTTATCATCATCATCATCATCAGTGATGTTACCATCATCATCATCGTCATCAGTTTCTTCATCTTTAAAAACTGCTGTTACTGCATCAGTTTGTATGCCTTCCATACTAAGACTAAGACCCAACGTACAAATTCTTTCATCATCATCATCACCGTTACCATCGTCATCATCATTTCTATCATCATCGTCGTCGTCATCGTCAACCAAAACAAAACCATCATCGTTCTGGTCATCATTATCATCATCGGTCCTCCCACCATCATCTTCATGTTCATCTTCATGTTCATCTTCTTCATGTTCATCTTCTTCATCTTCGTCTTCATCTTCGAGTTCATCTTCGATTTCATCCTCATGTTTGTCATCATCATCGTCGTCGTCGTCGTCCTCTTCAGCGTCACCATCTACTTCCAAAACGCCAGCATCGGCATCGTCAGCAGCAGCACTAGTGTCCAGTCCAGTTAGCAAAGATAGAACAACAAAGGACGATCCAAAATCATGGAAGACTTTGACTGTAAATTTATTGAAACTCGATAAGAATAACTCAACAGTGAAGGTAAATGGCGCCGTTTCGCCGCTACGTAACAACAACAACAACAACAATAATAATAATAATTATATTAATAATAATAATAATAATAGTGACGTCAGAGCCCGCAAAAGGTCAAAGTTGACCAGAAGCAGCTGCAGCACAACTCCGTTATTTGAAAACAATAGCAACAAAAAACTGGCTGCAACAACTGCAACGACAACTGCAACAACAAAGATGACGGCTATGAATAAATTGATGGTGGTTGCCAATCATGATGATGATGATGATGCTACCAACGACGATGATGATGATGATCACGATGATGATGGGTGTTGTCCTGCTAAGAAAATGAAGAAAATGTACAATAATAACATTAATAATTCCAAATTTAATGATAATTATAGTAGCAGCAACAACAATAACATCAGCAACAACAACAACAACATCAGTAACAACAACATCAGCAACAGTAACATCAAAACAAACGGCAGAAAAACTGTCTCCAACACAAATACCAACTGCAACAACAACACCAGCAACAACAACAGCAACATAGAGCAAAGAAATGAGAGATCTCCCAAGTTGCCAGTGCATAAGGTAGATACAAAACAAACGATAACTTCAAAATTTTCAACACCGAAAACGCCATCACAACTTGATACATCATCGTCATCATCAACGTCATCATCTTCAACTTCATCATCTTCTTCAACGTCATCTTCTTCGTCATCATCGCTTAGTACTAGCGCGAGTTCTCCATCAAAACCAGCCGTAGTGCCCTCATCATCATCATCTCAAAGAGCAATGACAAGAAGATCATCATCATTGTCATCATCTACATCATCATCTACATCATCATCATCATCTACATCATCATCATCATCTACATCGTCATCATCATCTACATCGTCATCATCATCTACATCGTCATCATCATCTACATCGTCATCATCATCGTCATCATCATCATCTACATCGTCATCATCACCAGCAGGGACCACACAAAAACAATCAAAAAAGGTGTTAAGATCATCATCCACATCGTCATCGTCTACTTCATCATCATCATCGTCGTCGTCATCATCATCCACATCATCATCATCATCATCGTCTACATCATCATCCTCATCATCATCATCACAAAGACATTCAACATCGTCATCCACATCATCATCATCATCATCGTCGTCGTCATCATCATCATCGCCGTCAAAGTTTTCGTCACCACAGAAATTAATTTCATTGCCATCGTCATCATCATCGCCAGCAGCACCACCACCGTCTCATGTAGTTTTGAAAACATCATCATTGTCAGCATTGCCAACATCATTATCAGCGTTGCCAACATCATCGTCGTCGTCATCCCACATCGTATGCAATGGCAGCCATAGTAGTAGAAATGTTTTAGCAACAATACGCCCCGTCTTGACAACGTCATCATCGTCGTCTTCATTCAACTCATCCAGACCTATCTACATGACAACCAACTATTTTAGAATCGGAACCGGTAATTATATTGTTGTTATTTTTTTAGTGGCGTTGTTGATTGATTGGTTGATTGATTGGTTGGTTGATTGATTGATTGATTGATTGATTGATTGATTGATTGATTGATTGATTGATTGATTGATTGATTGATTGATTGATTGATTGATTGATTGATTGATTGATGGATTGATTGATTGATCGATTGATTGATTGATCGATTGGTCAGTGGATGAATGAATGAATAAACTAATGATTGATCGATTAGTGATGAACGACTGATTGAACTATTCAGTCGTTTATTTATTCGATTCAATCATTCACTCACACACAACAGACCCATCGAACGAGTTGTGTCTCGTCAAATACGGAACCTGTGACAACGTTTTCGGCCGGCACGCTACCATACGCTACCTTGAGGTCGTTCTTATTGACTGTAATAATGGTGATGATGGTGAAGATTGATTGATTGATTGATTGACTGATTGGCTAATTGATTGATTGACTATTTGATTGACTGACTGTTTGATTGACAAATTGATTGATTGATTGGTTGATTGATTGATTGATTGACAAATTGATTGACAAATTGATGGACAAATTGATTGATTGGCTGGTTGGTTGATTGACACATTGGTCTACAAATCGATTAATTGCTAGTTAAATCCCATTTTGTGACAACTCAACCATCATTCATCAAGCAGACTTCTAAAAGTTTTGAACTGACATTCCACGGCGCTAGTCCCGAAGCAACAAAACTAACGACAACAACAACAACACCATTAAAAACATCATCAACATCGAACATGGCGGCTTCAAACATCTTTCCTAAAATGTACACATCCAAATCGTCATCAACCCACCACCACCACCATCAACAACAAAGTACATCAACAGTAGCCACTACAACGACATCACAAGTTCAAGACATCAACAACAAAAACGCCAACAGAAATGATGACATTAATGAGAGATGCAACTGCAATTCGAGACCTTATGTAAATAATAGCCTTAGTAAGAGAACTGTAAAACTTAACAAAGGCTCTCTGATGAAATTTGGCTGTCTGGAGTTTAAATTCAACTGATATTGTTGTATGTACTATGAACATTACCTAACATTTGAAAATTTAACTATTTTTTTGTGAAATTACGTTTAATTTTGATTTTAATTCACTTTTTTTTTAAGTTAAAAGCTAACTTTTTCGTTTTTTGTTCTCATTCAGTTTGACCATTCATTGATTTCTATATACAAAATTACAAAAAGTTCAAAAACCCATCATTAGCATGGATAATTTCATGTATTAACATTAATATATGCGTACCTATATTCACAAATTCGTACACACATACATACACACACATACATACATGCATACACACATATGCATAACACACGTATGTATTATTTAATATTCAATGAATTTTTGCCCATAATCACATTTATGTTATTTCTTTCTCTCTTTATTTATTTATTTATTAGTATTTAATGAGAAAAGAGTGTAAATTAATAATCAAAGAACATTAATAAATGCAATACATAAGGTGTATGTATTATACATAAAATTGTACTACAACTGAGAATTTTCAAACTTTTAAAAGTTTTTTTTTGTATAATAAGAATATCAGATCAACATAGGTGGATTTGTGTTTATATCACGTATACATGTATCATATACATGTATGCTTTGTCTGGTGTAACTCTACTGCATATGCAAAGTTTAATAAGTAAGAAACAATTTATAATAATGGTTGATTTCCAGGAGTTCCATCCCATTAAATGGCGGAATAAGAATGATGATAAATGGCAGGCACGCATGAGGCAGTGGTAGAAGCGTGATTGAAATTCAATTGAAACAATGTTAATTGTAATCTACCCCCGGCTCTGTCGTTAGTTCAATACGGATCCAAGCACGTCCTCCACAAACTTGAGTCACGCTGAACTTGAAGTGTTTAGCTATGGAAACGCTCAGAGCTCTAATACAAATAGGACAGACGGGCCTCTGTTTGAACCAATCACTCGAACAAGCAGCGTGAATGCAATGTCTGCAAGGCAGTTCGAAAATGAAGACACCTTCTTGAAATTCATCAAGGCAGACAGGGCATTCCTCCGATAAAAACATTCCCTCTCTGAACGGCAGTTTGAATTTTTTAATGTTGTCGTGAGAGGTGTAGAATAAGTCTTTATGTGCCACTACACCGTCAAAATGCCGTGCGTTATAGATGGAGACCTTTTTCGAACTTTTCTTCGGCAGCGATGAGAAGAAAAGATTCTGTAAGGACTTCATAATTTCGTACTGCTCTTCAATCGAGAGCAACTCGGTCCATCCCTCCTTGCCGTAATCTCCTTCGGCTGCCACGTAAGCCGCCATCTCATCAATATCACCAGCTGCAAGGCAGTGACTGTAGTTCTTTCTCAAATAATCAACATACATATCCTTCCGTGAGTAAAAATTCTCCTCCAAGAATTCATTTATGTGGTCTATTACGACCTCTTCTACACAAACCTCTGTGAAACTATCTCCAATCGCAAAATTCATTTCTCAAACTTTGAAATCGGGGCAAGCAAACAATGGTAGGACGGGTAAAACAGTCATTATATATAGAGCCCAACCAAACTGCATTAACGAAACTAAAGCTCTCCTCGACCGCACGGAAACCATTGTAAAATTTAAAAGGCGCTTTGCGATCACAAAGTCGTAATTTAATTTTACAACTCGAATAGACAGCAAATATTTACAAAGAGAAATGAATGAAGGACGATGATAACGTTACAAATGTCTTTGCTGCCTCACAGACGCGTGACCCCCTTCGACGAAAATGATGTTGATAACAACAATATTAATAATAATAATAATGAGTATGATGACGACAGTGATAAAGATGATGACGAAGATGATGATGATGATAACAATGAGAAAGTCTGACAACTTGGTTTCATTTTGCTAGTATAATGTACTTGAAAATTTAAAGCAAAAACATAAAAAAAAAATATATAATAAGATTTTCATTTTTTGTTATTGAAAAAATAAGATGATAGTAAACGTATTGGACAATATCATTCGCTATTTCCATTACAGATCAGATTTCGTGTTGTAAGGTAAGTGGCAAAAGATACTTCAATAAAGATAATTCATCACCAAAAAGTAAATTGTAAAATTGCGTTAAGGAGAATGAATGATTGTATCCATGTATCATGGTAATAGCTACAAAAAAATAAAATCATATAAACACATGATTAACATTTTCAAGTGCGATCAAAATAAATTTAACAACATAGACGTACATAAATATAAGTATATATGTCAATATATATTTAAATATGTGACAAATGATTTAAAAGTGAATTGAAATTAGAATGATTTAAAATTATCTACAGGGTAGTGCTCTCGGTATCTGTTTACATGATCTTTCATTGACGTCATTTGGTCTGCCAGATGTTTAGGGAGTTCTTTGTAAACGTCTAGGAACAATTCCTCCGGGTTTGGCTTCTTCTTCCGTTCCGCTTTTGAGAATGCTTGGATGATCTAAATGATTGATTGATTGATTGTGATAGATTGTGATTAATTGTGATTGATTGTGATTGATTGATTGATTGATTGATTGATTGATTGATTGATTGATTGATTGATTGATTGATTGATTGATTGATTGATTGATTGATTCTGTTGGTCGTTTAGTATAGAAAACAATAAGAATAAAAATAAAAAAAATCATAAACTTAATAAAAAAAAATAAATGAACCACTAGTAAAACTAAATTACAAAAGTAAATCAACAACAAAAATAAACAGATAACAAAGATAAACAAATAACAAAGATAAACAGATAACAAAGATAAACAGATAACAAAGATAAACAAATAACAAAGATAAACAGATAACAAAGATAAACAGATAACAAAGATAAACAAATAACAAAGATAAACAGATAACAAAAATAAACAAATAACAAAGATAAACAGATAACAAAGATAAACAAAGATAAACAAATAACAAAGATAAACAAATAACAAAGATAAGTTGTAAAACTTTTTTTCTAGACTCAAGTCTCCATTCATCTTCCTGTTTCTGTGACCACCAACCTTTATCTTCCATGTACAATCTTAATCTATTTTTGATTTTTGGTAACAAGCACCAGTTTGATCATAATTATCATATTTATAATTAAAATAATAATTATTATAACCTATGAATAGGATTATCTTCAGCAGCGATTGCTTTAACTTCATCTTTAAGTCTATAAACTGTGCTATCATCTGACGTACTATGATCACCAACACTGTGTGTGTGCGTGCGTGTGTATGTGCGTGCGTGTGTATGTGCGTGCGTGTGTATGTGCGTGTGTGTGTATGTGTGTGTGTGCGTGCGTGTGTGTGTATGTATGTGTGTGTGTGTGCGTATCAATCAATCAACCAACCAGCTAATTAACCACACAACCAATCACACATACAACAACCAGCTAATCAACCACACAACCAATCACACACACACACAACCAATCAATCAACCAACCAGCTAATCAACCACCTAACTAATCACACATACACACACACATGTACATACTCACACACACACACACACACACACACACACACACACACACACACACACACACACACACACACACACACAACAACAACAACAACAAACCGACCGATACGTCATTGCCTCAATGAGGACTGGCCTGCCCTCATTAACACATAGCTCCCTGGCAGCCCTGGTAGCATTGTACATGGCAAATATGTCGTTACCGTCAACTCGGATCGTGTTCATCCCGTAACCCTCGCCTCTGCTAGCTGTGTGAACAGGGTTGTGAACATCAAGGATGAACATTAGAAATGAACATCAAAGGTGAACATCGTTGCTAAATGAAGGAAAACATGCTTTGAAAAAATTAGTGAAAATACACAGCTGATGAGCATAGAATCAGCATCATCATCATCATCCCGATCATCATCATCAGCATAACCATCCTCACCTACGCCATCCCCCTTGTACTGATCAGCGGTCGGTGTTGATATGGCGAACCCGTTGTTGCGACTGAGAACAATTCAATAATTGCGTTATACAATTAAGTAAAATACAACGTGAACCAAAAACGAAACTGAAACAAACTAAATAACCCACCAGATAAAAATAACAGGGCACTTGAGTGTGGCGGCGAAGTTGAAAGCTGCGTGGGCGTCTCCTTCAGAAGCGGCGCCCTCTCCAAAGTAGCAGCAGACGCACAAGCCATTTTTAGCTCTCTTGTAGGCATAGGCTGCTCCGGCAGCTATAATTGTATACTTACATACTTACTTACCTAATAAATATGCGTGTGTGTGTGCGTGCGTGTGTGTGTAAGTGTATGTGTGTGTAGGTGTGTGTGTGTGTGTAAGTTCATTTAGCTGTTTAGCAGACCTTGGGGCATTTGGGTGGCAAGTGGCGAGGAGATAGTGACAAAATGCAGCTGAGGTGACCCAAAGTGGACGGGCATTTGCTTGCCCTTGCCCTTGTCGTCCTCTGTGCCGTAGCATTGGTCCATGACTTCATCTAGGGTGAAACCTCTCCATAAGAAAACACCTTGTTGTTTTTGGAGTTGTTTGGTGGTGGTTATTGAGGCTGTTTATGTTAATTTCTAATAAACTCTCTTTCTCTATCATTCTTTCTCTCTCACACACACACACAACACACTCACACACAGAAACAAACATTATACAGAAACAAATACACACACCAGCTTCCCTGTACTGGCCGAAAATGAGGTCTTGAGGATTGAGGGCAGCAGCCGATCCAATTTGAGCACCTTCCTCACCGTAACTTGTCATGTAGAAAGAGATTCTGCCTGAGTTAGGACCAATCAATCAACCAACCAACTGGACTATCAATCAATCAACCAACCAGACTATCAAACAATTGATCAATCAACGTTTAGTTAACCTTGTCTTTGTGAGTCATAGAGAATTTGGTCCATGGAATTAAGCAAAGTCATATCCTTGTACATCTTTGTTACAATTTCCTGGCTCAACTTTTAAAGCAATAAACATTTGCATTTTATAAAAACATTTAATCTCTTCTGAATAAAAAGTAAATAATTTAATTAATTCAATATTTGATGATTTAAATTTAAACTGCAATAACTCACTAGAGCAATCAATCAAAACACAACAAATTGATACCTGAGGATCTTCACTCTGATCTTGCACTTTCCCTGACCTATTCATCACCCTATAAACGGGAATCCCCTCTTTAAGGTCAGGTTCAATAAACTGAAGTTTATTAGTGAACTTTGACCTGCACCCAGCAAACCTTGGCACATCCTCATTTGCATCAACCAGTCTGCTAGTGCTTAAGCGCTTTATTTTATGTTGTTTAAAATAGAAACATCAACATCAACATGATTTGCTCATTGTGTATGTGCTTGAAACTTTAATGTGTATTAATTGTTAGTAATTATGCATTTTAAACATAGATTAATCAATCATCAATAGACCTAAACTAGAAATTGAGACACTGATGCCTGACACTCTACCAGCAGGCATACTTAAAGTTTGGTATATAAAATTGGAAAAATAGCGACGAAAAATTTAATAAATTGTATTTTTAAAGTTGATTAAATTGAAAAACAGACGTTTCTGCATGCAATTGCTGGGAACAACTTCACTTCATGATTGACAATTTTTTTCACTTGGCGACTTTTGAGGACCAACTTAGCGAGCATTCTGGCCAACATGCCTTATTTTAGAAAATATTAAAATGTATTATTTTAACTAAATTAACTTAAAACAATTCATTATTAAATTAAAAACTAATTCAAAATGATCTTTGTATGAGAAAAAGTGTTGTGTATGATAGATAGAGAATACGTTAATAACTATCCATTCGAAATGTGACAACCAAAAATTTGTAAAAATTACTATTCAAATATTCATAATAGGTAATTTAAAATTAATCTGAAATTAAAAATCCAACGTTTTGAATATTTTCTCTAGTTTTTTGACAATTAAAAATTATTATATCGACCTAGCCAACATAGGCCAAAGATATTGTAGCGACTACATGCATAAATATTCAACATATCCATGATATTCAAGCCAAAATTCTACAAGATAGTTAAGAATGATTTAATGATCAAAATGTCAAGAACGTAGTTTTTTACAAAACTAGATTGCAAAAAATGTTTTATCTAATAATAAAATACTATTATTCAACAAAAATTTATAAATTAAGGTGCTTAAAGTCGCAAGCATAAAATTTTAACTTTAAATTTCAAGAGTTGAACTATAGTATTTGTGAGATTTGGAAAATCATATTATAGGGGTACACATAAGTACACACACACTCATACAAACACAAGCGCTCTTTCGCTTGTACGAAGTTATGGTTGTGTTGTGAGTAGTATTTTTAATAGATTTTTAAAAGATTTTTCGATGTTTTGTTAAAAAAACCATTTTTAATATAAAAAAATTTGCCAAAAA